ACCTGTGTGTAATCAAGTCTCCGTATAAATGCACCTGCTCTTTGATAGTCTCAGGGTTCTGTTTAAAGCGCAGAGAGAACCAATGAAGACAAAGGAACACACCAGGCAGGTTCGAGATACTGTTGTGGAGAAGTTTAACGCCGGATTTGGAAACAAAAAGATTTCCCAAGCTTTAAACATCTCAAGGAGCACTGTGCACGCAATTATATTGAAATTGAAGGAGTATCAGACCACTGCAAATCTACCAAGACCCGGCCGTCCCTCCAAACTTTCATCTCAAACAAGGAGAAGACTGATCAGAGATGCAGCCAAGAGGCTCATGATCACTCTGGATGAACTGCAGATAACTACAGCTGAGGTGGGAGAGTCTGTCCATAGGACAAAATCAGTCGTGCACTGCACAAATCTGGCCTTTATGGAAGAGTGGCAAGAAGAAAGCCCTTTCTCAAAGATATCCATAAAAAGTCTTGTTTAAAGTTTGCCACAAGCCACCTGGGAGACACACCAAACATGTGGAAGAAGGTTCTCTGGTCAGATGAAACCAAAATCGAACTTTTTGGCCACAATGCAAAACGATATGTTTGGCGTAAAAGCAACACTGTCAAACATGGTGGTGGCAGCATCATGGTTTGGGCCTGCTTTTCTTCAGCAGGGACAGGGAAGATGGCTAAAATTGATGGCAAGATGGATGGAGCCAAATGCAGGACCATTCTGGAAGAAAACCTGTTGGAGTCTGCAAAAGACCTGAGACTGGGACGGAGATGTATCTTCCAACAGGACAACGATCCAAAACATAAAGCCAAATCTACAATGGAATGGTTCACAAATAGACGTATCCAGGTGTTAGAATGGCCAAGTCAAAGTCCAGACCTGAATCCAATCGAGAATCTGTGGAAAGAGCTGAAGCCTGCTGTTCACAAACACTCTCCATCCAACCTCACTGAGCTCGAGCTGTTTTGCAAGGAAGAATGGGAAAGAATTCCAGTCTCTCGATGTGCAAAACTGATAGAGACATACCCCAAGCGACTTGCAGCTGTAATTGCAGCAAAAGGTGGGGCTACAAAGTATTAGCGCAAGGGGGCCGAATAATATTGCACGCCCCACTTTTCAGTTTATTTGTCAAAAAAGTCCACTTCACGACTGTGTCCCACTTGTTGTTGATTCTTGACAAAAAATGTAATTTTTATATCTTAATGTTTGAAGTCTGAAATGTGGCGAAAATTTGAAAGGTTCAAGGGGGCCGAATACTTTCTTTCGCAAGTACATATCCAGTCTTAATACAAGTGCACGGAAGTTTTCAGAATTTTCCGTTTACGTCTTCATGACAAAAACACTGATGTAATGCGAGAAAAGGCAATCCAGAAAAATCCGGAAGTAGATACCGGCACATACCGGCACATTTTAAGATACTAACACATTTAACACTAACACATCACATTTCTAACACATTTGCAGAGGATCGAATTATGGATTTAGGTTAGGTTTATGTATGGGTCACTCACCGCTGATGTTCAGAATCCTTTGTTCAGTTTTCATGCAGTTCCAGGGAGTTCTAGTTTGGAAGTTGCTAGCCTAACTGTTGCTAGCATAGCCACGGGAAAGCCTTTGGGAACTATTTTATTTTCTGTCATTAAATAAACCTTTCGGCATTCCTAAAAGTGGACTGAAGTTTATGTTGTGTGTTCTGTTGGTATAAAGCCGTATAATAAGCGGGATAACGTACATTACGCAGGTCATTATCGGAAAATAAGTACCGACAGGGCGAAGCGGAATATACGTATATATGCTATATATGCTAAAATCTGGAACAGTCTTCCTGAAGATGTGAGACAGGCCTCCTCTCTGACAATGTTTAAAACCAGGTTAAAGACAGTTCTGTTTAACTGTGCATACAACTGAGGGATTTTATATTTTTATCTTTCTTTTTAATGTTCTGTGATAATTTATGATTTTAATGCTTTCTTGTTTTGTTCAGCACTTTGAATTGCCTTGTGTATGAATTGTGCTATATAAATAAACTTGCCTTGCCTTGCCTTGCCTTACGTTATCCCTTACGTATGTATTACATTTAAAATATACATGTATGTAAATTGTTGAATTTTATAGATATTTTAGTATAAAAAATGTTGTATAAAAAAAAGACTAATAGACTAATTGTGTTGTACTAGTAGCAGCCATCTTCATATAATTGTAGTATAGGTGTTATGTCTGCATTTCTTTTGTTGACTAAGGATACTTAGTGTGTACTGTCCCTTTAAGAGTGTCTCCCAGCACACGTGCAAGTGTTTTCGCCGGTGTGACTTGCAGAATTCTTTTCATTAATGTGCACCCTGGGACTGTTTTGGCGCTTATTTCTGAACATTTGGACAACTTTATTGACAATTATGCAGTTTATTTTTACCATGACTTGGACATACAGCAAAGGAGGGTTACCTCGAAGATGTTGTATCATGTTTGAAGTATTGGCAACAACACCTCATATTTTGGATTCCCAAAGTTATCCCACACTGCTGACTTAAGTTGTGGTGGATATAACTCTGGCTTGTCCTATCATCTTCAATTTACCGGACAGTCTGCGCTGTTCCGTGTGCAGCGGCCCGTACTGAAACCGGTTAATCTCGGCAACCCTAGCTGTGACGAAGCCCAACACCGTGCATATTAATACAGGGGAGGGAAAATCAGGTCGCTCAGCTTTAAAATGCATGCATATAGAGTGTGTGCTGAGGCAGTACCTGTAGATCATGCCTGGAGAGCCGGACTGTCTCAGGGAGAGGCGGGCGGGGGAGTCCGTGGTCGATTCGGGATACATGGGGCAGGAGGGAGGGGCCTTCAACAGGAGCACACAAACGAGCACCTCTCAGCACCCCTGCAAACACACACACCCAGAGACACACGCACACACACAGGAGCTGGTTAGTCAAATAGCAGTCTGACTGATACAAGTTTTACAGGTGACATAAAACACCATCTTTTATTACGGTTTTCTCTTGTCGTTTCCACTCAGTATTTGTTTAGTGCAGTTCAGTGTGTGTTCAAGTCCTTTATAATGTCCTACACCTGACACCAGCCTGAGACGTTTGACCTGTCTATGAATTTGTTTTGTGGATGATTCACCAGCGCTACACAGTGGAATGGAGATGGATTCATCAGAGACAGATACCCCACAGTGAACAATCTACGACTGAAAACAGATTCTCAAAGAGCAGGGAGAGAGCAGGGAGAGAGCAGGAAGAGAGCAGGAAGAGAGCAGAGAGAAACCAGAGAGCGAGAGCAGAGAGAGACCAGTTTCCCTTCAAAAGCTGGTTAATTGGATTGCACAGTCACAAAAAAAAAAAAAAAGATTCACATAAGCATATACACTTATGTTGGATAAGTGTACATAATAAAGTGGCCGGTGAGTGTATATCCTTAATGATTACTGACCTTTAAAATTAGCTATGACATCTGTGAGTCACTTATCTGACTCTTTAGGCTTAGAGCTGAAATTGGCTAAATGATGAATAGACATTATTTATAAAGATAATGATCTAATGATGTTAGCTGTATTCTAGCACATCACATATGTGTCGTATGAGAAGTGCTAGAATACACAAATGCCACCCGCAGAAGTTCTCTGAGGACTCCGCCATTGTGGGCTGTGTGTCTGAGGCGAACGAACTGGAAAACCAGTCGGTTATCATGAACTTTGTCGACTGGTGTGAGCACAACCACTTGTGCTTGAACACCAGTAAGACCAAGGAGATGGTCATCGACGTCAGGAGAAAACCACTTTCCCACACGCCGCTGAACATCCAGGGGGAGGACATTGAGCTGGTGGACAGCTTCAAGTTCCAGGGTTTTCAAATTAACAATAAACTGGACTGGTCCCATAACACCAATGCCCTGTACAAGAAGGGCCAAAGTCGCCACCACCTTTTGAGGAGTCTGCGGTCCTGAGCAATGCCTCTGCACAGGACTTTTTATGACTCTGTGGTAGCTTCTGCCATACACTACGCTACCGTGTGCTGAGCACCAGGCAGCACAGAGCGGGACAGGAGTAGACTAAACAAGCTGGTCAGAAGGACTAGCTCTGCTCTGGGCTGCTCCCTGGACTCTGTGGAGGTGGTGAGGGACAGGAGGGTGTTAGCCAAACTCACCTCCATCATGTCACCTGGTGGGAACCCACTGCACAGGACTGTAAAGGAGCTGAGGAACTACTTCAGTGGAAAACTGAGGCACCCTCAGTGCAAGAAGGAGCGCTACCGCAGGGCCTTCATCCGCACTGCTGTCAGACTGTACAATGAGTCACTTTAAGTCACTTGTACCAGGACTAAAGAACCTGCACTACTATTGCCACTGTTTCTTTAATTTCCACTTTCTATTGTACATAATATATCCTGAATAGACTATATTTTTAACGTTTTAACAAGTTTGCACACTTCTTTTGCACAAATCTGAGTGATTCTATCTATCCCAAATGTGACCTGTGCATTTCTCCTGTGTGAGATCAATATAATCCATCTTATCTTATCTTAGCTCGCATAGTAATTCACAATAAAAATAACATTAAAGTAACAATCTAATAATAATAATAATAAGTCTGTTTAGGTAAATGTTTTATTTGTCATAGAGCGGGAACTTGTTGTACAGCAGTATTGAGCGTGGTATGAACATGCTCTTGTACCGCTCACCGGGGCAGCGGAGCTGTTTACTTTTGAATGCCCTGGAAAACGGCTGCAAGTCCTAACAGTCCTGGCACCACGCCGACAGTCCCGCCCCCTCAGTCAAAATGTATAATTAAAAAATAAGTGTATATATATTATTTTCAGTCTATGTGTTCAAAACAATCCAGAAACTCAGAAGAAACTCCACTGACTATAATGAACAGTTTTGGAATTTAAAATTCAGATTTTCTAGTGGTCCTTGAACCCATTACAAGGTCATCAGTGCATATTCCCGCCTTACAGAGTTGCCTGTAACCAGCCAGCAGCTAAGGGTTAGCTCTTGATTTTGTGATAAAAATGGATATTCGTAAATGGCTGAAAAAGCCAAACACTACATCGGCGACGTCCCCGCAGCCTGGCAGCAGCTACAGGAGAACCGGAGAAGCCGAGGAGCATCTGTCAAGGCCACGGCAGCAGGTGCCGAGGCAAATGGAGGAGAGTGAACTGCCCGCCATTCCCCCGGTGCCAACAGCCTCTGACCCGGGTTCACCGGTGTTCGGTGCGGCGGGGCCGCCATCGCACTCGCAGCAACAGTTTCGTTTACCGGAAGACCTCAGAGTTGAAAAGCCAGTTCAAGTTTGTCTCCAGCAGTTTCCAAAGAAACAACAGCATAATAATGACTGTAAACGGTCGTTTTCGGCTAACTGGTACAATGGGAAAGACTGGCTTGAATATTCCCAGCAAGCGGACGCTGCTTTTTGTTTTCCCTACAGGAAATTTGGAGGGAGCGACTCCGTTTTCACAAGAACTGGATATAATAATTGGAAGCATGCTAATGATGAAGGCAAAGGGATTTAGCCGACATAGTAACAGCAAAGAGCACCTAGCGTGCATGGCGAGCTGGAAAGAGAAGCAAATTCAGTACAATTCCAAAAAACGCAACTTATACATCACATGATATACAAAATCACATAATTGAACTGATGAGCACGATTGTAACAGAGCAAATTGTTAAAGATGTTGGAGAGTTGTGGTTTACACTCAAGGTGGATGGAACTAAAGACCCGACAGGCCGTGAAAATGTCTCTATAGTTGTGCGTTATGTTGACAAGGACTTTAAAGTGCAGGAGAGGCTGTTATCAATGCAGACAACAGACAAGTATGATGCCCTGTCACTCACTAATGTAGTGCTCAATGAACTGTCAAACGCCGGTCTTCACGTAAATAAAATTCTTAGTGTTATGACGGAGCCAGCGTCTTGTCTGGAAGAGAGGGAGGCATGCAGAAGCTAATTCAAAATAAGTTAAACAGAGAAGTGCCTTATAGAGAGTGCAGTTAGGGATTTTTTTGGACGTGTGTAATTCCCTTTATACATTTCTGAAAAAGCCCACTGTAGCAGCACAGTACAGAGGAGAAAAAGCTTAAAAGGCTGTTAGAACAGCGATGGACTGGACATCTTGACACGGTGTCTGTGGTGCTGAAGTCACACACCACACTGGTGGACTTCTTAAAAGAAATGGGATGCACGGGAGCAGGTAGCGATGTAAAAATTCAAGCTGTTGGACTTCACAAGGCCATCACAGAACCTCATGGCCTCATTCAAAGTGCATCTTCTTGCATCGAAGATTTAAGATTTGATGCAAAATTTCTTAAATTGTGGGATGACAGTGGGGATGCATGTGAGGGCACACCTGTCCCTCCAAAACGACTGCGGCAGACCACAGAGGCCCTTCAGGAGTACGTGGTGAGTGAAGGCCTTGGGCAGTGCGAAGCAGACATCCAACATGAGTGTAAGCAGCTGTTTTTTGCCGTAATCGACTATTTTGTGTGAAATGGCTGCGCGTTTCAGCGAGCGCAATGTGACATACATGACGGCTTTGGATCCCGTAAGTGTGAATTTTTTGGAGGCCAACAAAGTGAAACCACTACTGGATTTGACCAACAGAATGACAACAGAAATGATTGAGGGTGCAGTTCACAGTTACACGGGACTATTTGAAAACAGGTGCACAGGCCAGGACGAGGAGAAAGTGACATTGAGTCAGCTTGTTGCAAAGGAATACATTATTTTGAGTGCCATGCCAGCGGAAATGGCCGTGTTCAAATACACACTAACATTCGGGGGATCAACTGCTATGTGCGAAAACTCATTCTCCATGTTGAAGAATGTATTTACCAAGCACAGACGCAGCATTTTGCATAAACGGAAAGCCCATCTCATCCAGCTGGCATTTGAGAATGATCTCAGTCGGAAATTCAAAGATGAATGGAAGGAGATGCTGTTAAGGAGATTCCACTCATCAGGAAAGAGGAGACTGCAACTCTATTAAAGATAAGAGCTGGTTATTTTATCATCCGTATTGTTGATGCTACCGTTTTTGTTACCAATGTTTGTTACTGCTTTGTTTCCAATTGATCATACGCAATACGCATCACGTGTTAGATCAGCGCTGTGTGATCTGTGGAGTGTTTTGATGTTGCTCTGGGGCCTGGGATACATGTGTATCACTTCTGATTTCTTAATGGTCGGGTTAGAATGAGCGTTGCGTTACAGCAAGTATTATTCCTTGTGGCCGTGTGTTATTGTAACTTTTTTTATTTGTTGTGTTGATTACACCACATTATTGTAACTTGTTGAAAACTCCCCCCTGGACTGCCACCTTAACGTGGTGGGGGAGTTTGAGTACTCGGATGATCCTGGGAGCTATGCTGTCTGGGGCTTCATGCCCCTGGTAGGGCCTCCCATGGCAGACAGGTCTCAGGTGACGAGTCAGACGAAGCGCAGTCCAAAAACCACCATGGATCGCACTATAACGAGAGCAGTGACGTCGCCCGGCATGGCGCAGCCGGGGCCCCACCCTGGAGCCAGGCCTGGGGTCGGGGCTCGTATGCGAGCGCCTGGTGGCCGGGCCTTAGCCCACGGGGCCCGGCCGGGCTCAGCCCGAAGGGATGACGTGGGCAGTCCCTCCTGTGGGCCCACCACCTGCAGAGGGGTCCGTGGTGGCGCGGTGCTGAGAGGACTGGGCGGCAGTCGAAGGCGGAGACCTCGGCGACCCAGTCCGCACACACAACATCTGGCTCTTGGGACGTGGAACGTCACCTCACTGGGGGGGAAGGAGCCCGAGCTCGTGGGGGAGGTTGAGCGATACCGACTAGAGATAGTCGGCCTCACCTCCACACACAGCTTGGGCTCTGGAACCCAACTCCTTGAGAGGGGTTGGACGCTCCACTTTTCTGGAGTTTCCCGCGGGGAGAGGCGGCGAGCTGGGGTGGCCATTCTCATTGCCCCCCATCTCAGCCGCCATGTGTTGGAGTTCTCCCCGGTGAATGAGAGGGTCGCGTCCCTCCGCCTCCGGGTGGGGGACAAGTCTCTCATTGTTGTGACGGCCTACGGGCCTAACAGCAGTGCAGAGTACCCGGCCTTCTTGGAGTCCTTGGGAGGGGTACTGGACGGTGCACCGCCCGGGGACTCCGTCATTCTCCTGGGGGACTTCAACGCCCATGTGGGAGGCGCCAGTGACACTTGGAGAGGGGTGATCGGAAAGAACGGCCCCCCTGATTTGAACCCGAGCGGTGTTCAGTTGTTGGACTTCTGTGCCAGTCACAGTTTGTCCATCACGAACACCATGTTCGAGCACAAGGGTGTCCACCAGTGCACGTGGCACCAGGACACCCTAGGCCGGAGGTCGATGATCGACTTTGTTGTCGTATCATCTGACCTTCGACCGCGTGTCTCGGACACTCGGGTAAAGAGAGGGGCGGAGCTGTCAACCGATCATCACCTGGTCGTGAGTTGGATCCGCTGGCAGGGGAAGAAGCCGGTCAGACCTGGCAGACCCAAGCGTATAGTGAGGGTCTGCTGGGAACGTCTCGCTGAGCCCCCTGTCAGACGGACTTTCAACTCGCACCTCCGGGAGAGTTTCTCCCCAGGTCCCGGCGGAGGAGGGAGACATGGAGTCCGAGTGGACCATGTTCTCTGCCTCAATCGCCGATGCGGCGGCTCGTAGCTGTGGTCGCAAGGTCTCTGGTGCTGGTCCCGGCGGCAACCCCCGAACCCGGTGGTGGACACCGGCAGTAAGGGATGCTGTCAGGCTGAAGAAGGAGTCCTATCGAGCCATGATGGTTCGGGGGACTCCTGAGGCAGCTGTCCAGTACCGGCAGGCCAAGCGTGCCGCGGCCCGGGCTGTTGCAGAGGCAAAAACCCGGGACTGGGAGGAGTTCGGAGAGTCCATGGAGCATGACTATCGGTCGGCCTCGAAGAGATTCTGGCAAACCATCCGGCGCCTCAGGAGGGGGAAGCAGTTCTTTGCCAACACCATGTACGGTGCGGGTGGAGAGCTGCTGACCTCGACTGGGGATATTGTCGGGCGGTGGAAGGAATACTTTGAGGTTCTCCTCAATCCCCCCGTCACGTCCTCTGTTACAGAGGCAGAGGCTGAGGATGTTGGGGCGGATACATCTATCTCCCTGGCTGAGGTCACCAAGGTGGTTGGTAGCCTCCATGGTGGCAAGGCTCCGGGTGTGGATGAGATCCGCCCTGATTATCTAAAGTCTCTGGATGTTGTAGGACTGTCTTGGCTGACACGTCTCTGCAACATCGCGTGGCGATCGGGGGCAGTGCCAATGGAGTGGCAGACCGGGGTGGTGGTCCCTCTCTACAAGAAGGGGGACCGGAGGGTGTGTTCCAATTATCGTGGGATCACACTCCTCAGCCTCCCCGGTAAGTTCTACTCCAGGGTACTGGAGAGGAGGTTACGGCCGAGGGTCGAATCTCGGATCCAGGAGGAGCAGTGTGGTTTTCGTCCCGGTCGCGGAACACTGGACCAGCTCTATACTCTCCATCGGATACTCGAGGGTTCATGGGAGTTCGCCCAACCTGTCCACATGTGTTTTGTGGATTTGGAGAAGGCGTTCGACTGTGTTCCCCGGGGTGTCCTTTGGGGGGTTCTCCGGGAGTACGGGGTCGGGGGTCCTCTGCTGAGGGCCATTCGATCCCTGTATGACCGGAGCCAGAGCTGTGTTCGCATTGCCGGCAGTAAGTCAGACCTGTTCCCGGTGAATGTTGGCCTCCGACAGGGCTGCCCTTTGTCACCGGTTCTGTTCACTGTATTTATGGACAGAATATCTAGGCGCAGCCAGGGGTCGGAGGGGGTCCGGTTCGGAGACCACAGGATTTCATCTCTGCTGTTTGCGGACGATGTTGTCCTGTTGGCTCCAACGAACCAGGACCTGCAACATGCACTGGGGCGGTTTGCAGCCGAGTGTGAAGCGGCTGGGATGAGAATCAGCACCTCCAAATCTGAGGCCATGGTGCTCGACCGGAAAAAGGTGCCTTGCCCTCTGCAGGTGGGTGGAGAGGTCCTTCCTCAAGTGGAGGAGTTCAAGTATCTCGGGGTCTTGTTCACGAGTGAGGGAAGAATGGAGCGTGAGATTGACAGGCGGATCGGTGCAGCGTGCGCAGCGATGCGGTCGCTGTATCGGACCGTTGTGGTAAAGAGGGAGCTGAGCCGAAAGGCAAAGCTCTCGATTTACCGGTCAATCTTCGTTCCCTCCCTCACCTATGGTCATGAGCTTTGGGTAATGACCGAAAGAACGAGATCGCGGATACAAGCGGTCGAAATGAGCTTCCTCCGCAGAGTGGCTGGGCGCTCCCTTAGAGATAGGGTGAGGAGCTCAGTCACACGGGAGGAGCTCGGAGTAGAGCCACTGCTTCTCCACGTCGAGAGGAACCAGTTGAGGTGGCTCGGGCATCTGTTCCGGATGCCTCCTGGACGCCTCCCTGGGGAGGTGTTCCGGGCACGTCCCACCGGGAGGCGGCCCCGCGGAAGACCTAGGACACGCTGGAGGGACTATGTCTCTCAGCTGGCCTGGGAACGCCTTGGGGTCCCCCCGGACGAGCTGGAGGAAGTGTGTGTGGATAGGAAAGTCTGGGCGTCTCTGCTTAGACTGCTGCCCCCGCGACCCGACAACGGATAAAGCGGAAGAAAATGGATGGATGGATGGATGTTGAAATTGTTATTTTTCTTGCTTTTTTCTACCTGAGATATTGCAGTATGGTGTTCATGGTTGGTCCAGACCGGAGCGGGGAGGATTCATGGTCCGAACCAAGAGGATCAGGCTAAAATCCACTGGAGGAATGCTAAATTTTGGATTAATGCTAATGAAGCAGTTAGCATTTTACTTTGGACTAGAGCAGAGAAAATGGTCCAAGCCAAGTGGCTACTCCACCTTGTGACCTGTCCTGCTCCACCCAGTGAAGCAGGACGGCCCGAGGACCGAGCTTCGGACCGATGACCGTAAAACTACCTCGGATACAGGCCGGGCACTTTTATCAATTCATTTTCAGAGCGGCAGATTACATTTACGAACGCACCCAATAAATATAGCGTTCTATCACACTGTAGTATTTGTTGTTCTGTATAGTATTGTCATTGACGACACATAGCGTTACCTTCAAGTGTGTTGTAGTTTTTTGCGGCCTCTGGTTATCATACAGTTGCGGCCGTTCACTCCGTACACACAGAACTCATTGCAACACATCACTACAAATCACAGCCGGGGCGGTGTTCATATCAATGAGCGGCACTATATACTACGCTAAAACATTGTTATGGGAGGTGAAAAAACAAAAAAAGTCGGGCTTGATACGGGTTTTGGGCCTGAGAATACAGAAACCATGCCGGGCCTGGCCGGGCTGGGGCACCATAATCCTGCCCCAAAGTGCAGGATTATCCATGATAGAGAGTTTTTCCCAGCTTGTCAATCCGGGAGAGGTCCCTTTTGGTGGTGCTGCTCCCCTAGTAGACCACAGCGTAAAAAAGGGCGCTGGCC